GAATCCCGTTGAAGCCCTGTTTTTTTTCAGGCTTCTTCTTTCCAGTTGCTTAAATTGGAAAATTTACTGTGATGATCATTCTTCACTTCTGAATATTATTTTGTTCAGGTGTGGTGCACAAACATAAATGTGTTGAACTTGGATCATGTGTACTATAGGCATCAGCAGTAGAGTGGCGATCTATACTCTCGATCGATACCCTCGATTGATATCTTGATTGATACTTGATGGACATCTTGATCAATTCTTGATTGACACTCAATCAACACTTGATCAACAGTCGGTTGAAAATTAGTCGACTGTTGACTGACTGTCGACTGTGATGTCAATAGAGTGTCGATGGAGTGTCGATCAAGTATCGATCGAGTGTCGATTGAGGGCCAATCAAGGGTTGATTGAGGGTATCAGTCTAGGGTATCGACTGACTCTCGATCTCAGATGCCTTTAGTACACATGATCCTCGAACTCTTGAGGTATGATGTGGAGAATCAATGCTTTGGGCTTGAATGTACTCCAGAATTGGTCATGTTACTGAAGCACATGATGATGTTGGATTGTCTCTGTCATTATTCCATTCATTTAAAGAGTTATTTTAATAGGCAAGCTAGATAAAAGTGATAATTAAACTTATGGCTGAACTGTTTCATTTTTTCTCACTTAACATAAATCCCTCCACCTTTATTTCCTTGCTAGATGAGTACTCCTGACATGGAAAAGATTGCCACAAGCAGGAATGAGACGAACCAGAACAGGAAACATGGTCCCTTGCCTTTACTTGAGATTTCATTGTACTGGGTTTTGTGGATTTCACTGTTGTTGTATACCATGTATACTGTCTTTATAGCATCTCAAGGTAAGAAGGGTCCGACAAGCTTACCGGTAGGACTTTTATGTAAAAAAACAGAGTTCTAACCCAGTTGGGGCCTGAAAGGGCTGTTGATAAGGGGTGTAACCTGTAACACCTGCTGCAGCTGAGAGTATGTTTGATGGGTCCTTGATGTTACAGGTGAATTTGCCTGTAGTCTATACAATTCACTCAAAGGGTAATGAGCTTGTTACTGGTGTGAAGATCAAGGCTACAGGTGAATCAAAACTTAATGACAACCCTGACAGTTTCCAGTATAATAAAAAAAGGATGGGGATGCTCATCAGAAATTTTGAAAAAAAATCCCCAATGGGTGCTAAGATCCTGTTTAGTGGGTGTGGCTTGAATTTTTTTCACCTCTAAGAGGTACCAATTCTAAAACAAAACATGACCTCCTGTCATATCTTTTTTTTGGCTCAATACCCTAAAAGGTACCGTAAATAAGCTCACGTGCTGTGGACCTTTTGAGGCTGAATACCCTAAGAGCCACCAAAACTGCATCCCCATCATTTTTATATGGGATTCACTCCCAGGAAGAACACAAGGAATGCAATGGGCTGTAGCCGCATAGACTTTGCTGGGACTGCATGTGCACAGAGGCTGCAACAATATTAGCCCTTTGAGAATAATCACAATCTTCCTACATGTAGGTCTGTCAGTTGATTATATAAATAGTTTAAAATGCATATGTGACTGGCTTCCCATTTGGTTGACCAGGAAATGTTTAGAGGAGGGAGCCATGATTTTCAGGGCAATTTTATGAGGCAGTCTGAGGTTTAGATTTTCCTTCACCAACCTTTCCCCTACTCACCATTAAGGTCCTGACCAATAAAAATCCTATAAATATTCTTTCCCTTTTCCTGCTTTTCCTTCATGCAAAAATTTTCTCCAACCCAGGGATGATGATGAATGGGAGGCACAGTGGCCTCATGGTTAGTGCGCTCGTCTCCGGATCGAGTGGTCTGAATTCGAGCCCTGGGCAGGGACATTGTGTTGTGTTCTTGGGCAAGA